CGTCCGGCCAGACGCACCGCCATGACCCGAGGGAGCTGCCGGCTCCGGGTCTCGTAGCTAAACGTTAAGTGTTGCTAGTTACACTGTTATTCGCATTTTTAATTAGGACCGCTGCTGGATATTTGGGTGTCCCCTAAAAATACTGAAACATATGACGTTTGGTGGGTTACACAGCTGGTCAGTCCAGTCCAGTCCAGTCTAGTCTAGGGTCAGCCAGAGTCCTGTAACGTTAGTGTGTGTACTACTTGTATAAAAATCTACTTTGTGTACTGTACTACTTTATCTGTGGCATCGAGAGCATTTACCTTCTATTGAGACCGTGTAACATTGACTGTAGTGGTTCTGGTGCAGGTTGGCTCCACAGTTTCCATAGTCCTAACAGCAGTCTGTGCATGTGGATGGTTAACGGTGGAAACGGAGATCAGTCTTCTAAATGTCTTTTTTAACCCTTTACCCAAATACAGATATATCGCCAGTGGAGCTTTGTGTGTTTATGGTTCACAACTACCCGAGGTTTTAATGTTTTTAGGTGATAATGCGCCATGTTTGGAGCAAAGCCAATGCAAATACACAATTAACTGTATTTGATCATCAAAAGTTAAAACTGTCTAATAATCCACCTGACACACTGGAAACAGCTGCTTGTTCCCAGTGTGTAACAGCTCATCTGGTGCACAGACAGAGGGTAGGTACATACTGTACGTACACAACCTTATGAATCCCACAGGGAAATGGATTTATTACAGCAGCCACCGTACGACTGACAGAAACAGGAAGTGAGGTAGGCCCTGGTTACTCTGCACTAAGTTAAACACAAGCTATAAAATACTAAATAAGTTTAAGACAACATAAAGCTCGGTCTAAAACACAGACCTGCTTGTTAATCTCTACTGATTTTTAACTGTCAGGCCTTTTGGCTGTTGGGTTGTAAGAGCGAGTGTGGAAAACTGACAGAACTACAAGTAGACAATGAAAGAAAACTAATATCTCAAACTAATTCTTGTATCTCTGTGTTTGTGGAACAGTGAGAGATCTGGCTTCGAAGCTGGAGGTGGAGATGACTCGGTTGCTGTTAGTTCAACACAGGTTGTGTTTATCTCCTGTATGTTGAAAGTGCAGAGTAATGAGGTGTTTACTCAGGCCACCTGTGTGTGTGTGTGCGCTGTCGGGGGTTGTTGTTGACACTCGAGCAGCACATTAGTGAGTGAAACCACAGGTAGTTTTCAGTAAATGGACAAAACAATCTCACTCCCTGCTCCTTCACTATTCAGAGCTGCCATGACAGCATCGTTACAGCAGCAGCTAAATGCACTTTGTGGTGAGATCATTCGGTCGAGCTGCTTTTCCATGTGAATAAAAACGTCCCGCTTCACTGCCGAGGCTCGACCTTCTGCCTTCAGCTGGGGATGTGTCCTGGGGAGAGACGGGGACCTTTACTACACAGGTGGATGAGTCTGTTCTCGACCACATGGTCTCTCAGGCTGAAACACACGTTAGTGGCAGACTGACAGAAACCTGCAGAGACGAAGGACAAGGAGGCTTTTGTCACCAAACTCTCTCCTTCCTCCCCCTCTGCTGTCCTCTCTTTGACTCCCCCTTCTTCTCGTCCCCCCTCCAACTCCACAACTCTTTAACCTTCCTGATTTGGATCTGAGGAATTCCCTTCTCTCCAAATTCCTCAAAAGCGTGGAGGGAAGGAGCAGGAGTCGGGAGAGGAAGGGCTTCACTTTGTCACTTTTCAGTTTCAGGTTTGAGTGGCAGCTCAGCAGAGGCTGGACGTCTGGATGGCGCTCACCAGTCTGTGAAGCTGTAGCCATGAGTTGAACAGGTCAAAGCTACTCTCTGTCAGCTGTGGTCGTAAACAGAAGACTTTAGGGTTTTGGACTCTTTGCCAAATGAAAAAGTGACTTGAATACATGAGCTGGACTTTGATAGAGTCTGTGGCTCTGTCAGTAACGGAGGTGCTCGCTAGTTGTAGCGCTACAGACAGGGTAAATTCACAGGGAGAAGAAACACAAGCAGCGAATCATCAGAACTGGAAACAGGAAATGTTCAGATCAGTTTTCAGAAAAACAAACAAAAAACCTGGAACATTTAGCAACTGAAAGAAAATCATGAGATGACTGCAAATCTCGACCGAAATCGTTTCATCTGTGTGTCTGTAGAAAATCTGCTGGTGATCACGGCGGCAACAGAGGAAACTGACGGCTTTGCCCGCTTCATGAGGACGGCCAGAGAGTTCAACTACACTGTGAAGGTAAGACACACACACCTCTGCCTGGTGCTGACAGGTTCATGGGCAAACAAGCTCAAGAAGTGGTGCTTGACATCGTGGCTCTACTCAGTAAATTACTTAGGAGCAGTGATTCTGTGCAGCGAGGTTTGGATCTGCAGAAATACAGGGACGAACGACGCTGCTGAAAGAATCCAGGTGAAGATGATGATGATGATGGTGTGTGTGCACAGGTGCTGGGTCTGGGGGAGGAGTGGAAGGGTGGTGACGTGGCTCGGACAGTGGGTGGAGGTCAGAAGGTGAGATGGTTGAAGAAGGAGCTGCTCAATTACTCCGACAAGAAGGACATGGTCATCATGTTTGTGGACAGGTAACAGCCACCGCCGGTGTGTGTGTGTGTGTGTGTGTGTGTCTACCACCTCATGTTCTGTCATCGTCTGTTGTCTCTGCTCCTCTTCACGTCTTTATTCCACTTTTCACCTTGTTGTCTCTTTGTTTTTCTGTCTTCATTATGAAATCCGACCCACCTGTCCTACTTACACACACACACACACACACACACACAGACAAAGATTTGGTTGCAGGAGCCCATAAAGCTGGTTATTGAGCTGCTCGCCACCAAAACCACATGTATACTCACCTGTGCAGTCTTTTTATTGATGGCGAGCACCTGCTCTTTGCCACAGGGAGCACGTCTCTTCACCGCCTTGTGCGATTGTTTGTCAGTGCTGGTGTTAACATGTTTACAGACTCATCCTGGAAGGAGAAAGTCACAGTCTCTAGTCTGGACTTTGAAACCAGGAGAAAAATGTGTGTGCCGAGCTTCATGTGGACAAACTCTTCGTTCAGCTGGTAGTGAAGAGCCACAGCGGGAGCAGAGACGCCCACGTCTCAACATGTATAGCTCAGTCCTGACGCTGTAGAGCTGCTGCCGTCTGTTATCACTCTGCTTTCGCTGTTGACAGAGCTTCGACCAGGACTTGGTTTCTCTTCCTACACACCATCACACACGAGGTTTCCGTTGTTGTCATGCCTGCAGCTGTGTTCATCCTGCTTTGTCTTGGATTCTTATAAACCTGAACGCAGTGACGTGTGT